CCCCAAAACCCCAAAACCCCAATTTAAAAGTCAAATTTCAAATTTCACAAGCAATTAATAATATATATTCAATTAAGCAACCTTTCAATGTCAGTTTATTCGTGAAAATTAGAATTTAGTCCGTGATTATTGTCTTAGTTATTATATTTATGGCTGATGTAATCTAGCAGTGAAGTGATAGATTACATCGACATTACATAAATGAAAAATAGCACTAGGTATAATAAGTACATATACGTAAGGCCTAAGAAAAGCATTACTCCTTTAGTTATTAATAAATATTTATGATCATTTTAATCATCGAAAAAACTTAGGCAAATTTTCCAGTGGCTGAAGATTACCAGTAGTAAAAATAAACCATCAATCAAAATTATCAAGCAATTACTTAATCTTAAAAATCTAAGTAAATATTTATTCACAAATTCTTTTACATAAATGAAAAAGATTGGTATAAAAGGTAAGCCAACGACTAGGAAAGAAATCTTTAATACTGCTATGATATTAGCTAAAGATATATCAATTATTTCATCTATCGAGTAATATTTTATGTGATATAATTAGTACAAAACTATTGGAGAAATAAGCTTCAATACATTGAACCATTTAATAGATGGGGCACATTCCCAATTTTTATATGAATATTTGAGGTTCACACTGTGTCCACAAAACCTTTAGTACTTTTCTTATACATCGAAATGTCTTCCAATTTTACATTTGCTTATAAAACTATAAAGATGAATCTTGATAATCTGAAAACTAATGAAAACTAATCAAGAGATCCAGTAATAGGAGCAGCAATAATCACATAAAATGGTAGTCTGGCATTCTTAATTTATGATAAATCCATATTATTTGCAAAATGTAAAATTAGAGCATCTCTTATATTCATTATTTCTTCTAAGTTCTCTAATGAATAACATCTGATTTATGTGATCTAGATTTCACCTTAACTTTGCTTGATTTGCTTATTTTTCTTATATGATCTCAATTATTTACGATAGAATTTTAAATTTCTTGCATTTGATATTAGAGCACCTGAAAAGAATCGGCTTGTAAATATCACTTATACGTCTCTTTATTTTTTTATACAGTTATTTAGTAGATTTTTGCTGGAAGCAATCACAATTTTCCATCTTATCAATTTATTTTGCTTATTTAAAAACTATTACTAATAATTCTATTATTATTAATAATTAAAGTCAAAATGTTTAATGCATTTTACAAGAGTTTTAGATCCTCTGCAAATATCTACTCAATAGATAAATTTAAAGATCAGGAATAAAGAGATTGCTGGCTAATATTGACTGTGAAGGAAATATATACTCTCAAAGGTAATGATTCTGGCTAGGTAATTAAAATGATTGTAATTATTATTAGTTTATTTTCGAAGAGATTCCAACTATTTCAGGTAGAAAAAATATTTATTGCATAAAAGTAATTGCCTATAGATAATGAGTATGTGTCTTGCAAATGCTTTAACATAATAAGCAATAATCTAAGAAATCATAGACCATATGTCTGGGTTATGGCATCGCACACCAAGAAGGAAGACCTTTAAGCTTCAAACTAGGAATCTCCTATTATTTTCCAGCTTAATTTTTATCTAAATGGAGATATGAGTGTGAGTAAGAAATTTGGGTTGAACTATGCTCCATTTAAAATGGCTCAGGTATACTTATAATTGTAATTGATTACTAGTTTGAATTTGAGAATAAAAACTACTTGATTGTGAGTGGAAATGATGCTTAGTTGCATATCTATAGAATAGAATTAGACAATGAGACTTCAGAGATAATAATTTCAGACGCAATTTCATAATTCTTTAAAAGTGGTAAATGTGAATTTGATTCAGATGTGCTGCACATTCATGTTGACAATGTCAATAGCAGCCTTTGTCTCATAGCAATTGCAACTGAATTCGGCTAGATTAAAGTGTTTGAAGTGAAGAATAAAACTAGAAGAAATCGATATGCAACTTAATCAGAATTTAGAGAATTCTTTAGTGGGAATATATCCTCAAACATCTGCAAGATCCAGTTGTTTCTTACTGAGACTTAGAATAATGCTTGTGATTAGCCAGATACAGCAACTTAAAATGAATTTATAGATCAGCCAATACCCAGAAAGTCTAAAGATTTTTTCGGATTAGACAATGAGCAAAGCGAAAGTGAGCCTGAAATATTTACTCAAGCAGCAATGCCTCGACGCAGAAGACATAGCTTGAGTCACTAAAAAAGTCAACTTCTAATTGATGATAAAAAGCAAGAAGAATCCCATAATAAAATGACTCCTTTGCATTCAAGAAGAGTAAGTAGTCATTCTTTTTTAAGGTCTTATTTAGAGAAGTCAAGACTTGAGAATGGATAAGTTACAAGATGCAATGTTTAATCCAAACTCCAGCTATAAAATGAACTTGTTAGTTACTACAAACTATGGCTATAACATAGTCTATCATGATATTACGAATAGATAATTTGAATTAATGACCTTACTACCGCTTCTGAAAAATAAATAAGATCTTGCTGCTGCTTGTGAAGTCTTGGATTTTGATTTAGATATTGAAAGGGAAAGCTTTAATATCGTTTTAGGGTTATATAGTCAATATCTAGTCAGATACTGTGAGAAGAGATGTGCAACTGATAATGAGGGGAATGATTCTACACCTAGATAAAACTAAGATGGAATTAATTATGAGATAAGAGATGCGATGTATCTTGATCATCCAATTATGGCTATTAGCAAGGGTGATATTTTTAATATTGGGATTTATTATATGATTGTTGTAACTTAAGGAAGTCTATGGGTTATAGGACCTAAGGTATTAGAAAAGGTTTTATCGTATTTATAATGAATTTGCTTTTAACTAAATTACTTCAAAAAATTGTCCCTTATAATCTCACTCGGGGTTTTGG